TAAAGATAAAATATTTTTTCAGCTGAGTAGGCATTATTGACGACGCCGTTCGCAAACAAAAAAACTAGTAAAAGTGTAGCTGAACTTACTAATCGTCGAAGCAAACATCATGATGAGGCCAGTAAGCATAGGAATGGAATATCCAATCCTGCAAACACCGAAAAGAAGGCGGGAACACGGAAGCAACAATTAATTTCAGTACTTTCAAGCAGTGTTTCATAGCAAATTCAACGAAACCCTTTAATGGGAGTTTCACTGGTGAAAAAGCATTCATGCAATATGTACAGTAGATGTGCTAACTCATGAAATGTCAACCAAAATTTCGAAATGCGTTCTCGTTTCGAAAAGATAAAATAAGTAGTGCTGTAAAACTAATCATGATACAGCATTAATCTATAATGATCCAGTTACCTCAGGGTGTCGGCTTTCGAAAGAACTTATTTTCGGCTGCATGCAAGATCTATACTCTGCAAAAATGACTAGTTAAGTAGCATGCAATTTTCTCATTGATTTTCGATGCCCTTTAACATTCAATTATATTTCATGAAAAACATGCATAACAATATTCATTCTTTTACCTATTCGGTAGAAAATCACGTCTCCCTCCAATTTCATACTCAAAGGAAGAGTATAATTCGGTTTTAAAAAAGTTTCTAATTGTGAGATTTTTTAATACCGTTAAATGACCGTTCATGAAACGTCATGTATCTGCATTTACGAATGTGGCTTGTAAAGTTAACAATATTGCTCAAATCCACTGTTTAATTTTATGAACCTCATATATGCATGGTTTTCCGTACACGGAAAATATTCAGCTTGTAGTTTTGAAACCCTGAATTCAAGTGTAATAGCAGGTCGGATTCAAAATTATTCGAGAATTATAAAAGTTTTTTAAACCGAATTATGCTCTTCTTTTGAGTATGAAATTGGAAGAAGACGTGATTTTCTACCGAATAAGTAAAAGAATGAATATTTTGATGCATTTTCCCTGAAATAAAATTGAATTTTCAAGAGCATCGAAAATCAATGAGAAAATTGCATGCTACATAAGCAGTCATTTTTTTGCAGAGTATAGATCTTGCATGCAGCCGAAAATACGTTCTTTCGAAAGCCGACATTCTGAGGTAACTGGATCATTATAGATTAATGCTGTATCATGATTAGTTTTACAACACTACTTAATTTATCTTTTCGAAACGAGAACGCATTTCGAAATTTTGGTTGACATTTCATGAGTTAGCACATCTACTGTAAAATGAGATTTTACTGACTATCTCTACTAACAGGTCTTCCTCGAAGCCGTACCCGTATCTTCTTTTGTCTTTGATGATGGGTTAGAGCGGGAATCCGCAACGTCAGACGAATAAAGCTCTTGCTTCAACGATTGTGTCTTCTATTTCACGTCAGCTTTTTCCCAGTTAGGCAGTCGTCATGAAATGTGCTCACCAAATTACTATGAGGTCTTAGCCCGTCGGCTGCGACCAGTTATACTCCCAGTGACATTGCTAGTAATTTTCAGACAGACGACAGAGAACGGATCTGCAACCCAGATGGGAGTGGGCTTAACTAGAATATTCTCGACAAACAACTAACTCGAGATTTAATTTCAGACATCCCGCCTGAGATCGGGCTAGGATGTTTGCCACCAGCTATTAGAGCAAAAATAGTTGTTCAGTATGAGTTTTATTTCGCAAATGTTCCCATATTACACTTAAAAAGTCAAGATGGTAAATAGGTGATTTCGGTAATTCTTCGTCAGGCCAATACAGCTGCATAATCGAATGAAAATATACAAAAGTAACAGTGTTTATAGGTGTCTCAAGGGCTGTTAAGTCATTAACACTCATTTTTCCAAGGATGATGAAACATTTCAGGTTGCCTATCGGACACCAACAACCTTCCCTAAGGGCCTACACCAACGGATACTTGCAACGGCCGAGGCAGTGGCTATACGGCTAGCGAATCCGGTGTTATGCTGTCAGAAAACCCTGACACAAACGCTCTCTCTGCCGTGGCCAACGCCAACCTCAAGTGAGGACGACATACCGCCTCAAATCCCTAATTACAGTGATGGGTACTCCGTGTACTCAATTCAAGAACACCACTCAAAGACTCTCTTACCCCCCCCCCCCTAGCTCTAAGAAATAAAACCCGCCGACCTTGTCATGCGGGCGGCGTTGAGAAGATGAATGTTAATGACTTAATAGCCCTTGAGACACCTATAAACACTGTTAATTTTGTACATTTTCATTCCTTCATGCAACTGTATTGGCCCGACGAAGAATTTCCGAAAACACGCATTTGTCAACTTGACTTTTTAAGTTTTATTTATCGGTGACTCTTTTTAAGTAATTGTTGTGTGAGCACCTGCGTCGGGCTGTGAACTTTCGTCATCAAAGTGAATCGCCAGCTGCGGTATTCCGTGATGTAATCAGCGAGGTCAGCGAATGCCACTCGCATATGCTCATAAAATAAAAAATTACTCCGTGCTGCGTTGCATACTCTAGAAGCTGCATTCTCAAACATGCATATAGTGACCTTGAAAGGTTTCTATCTCCAATGCAAATTTCTGGTGTGTAAGTACCGTTCACAAATCTATCCTGGTTCTGCACAATGAGCACGATAAGTGGGGCTTTTGTGGCCTTTGGGTATTCTGATAGGTTTTACAGGAATAACGAAAGCAGAGTGGACCTACAGTCACTGGGTTGTGGCCACACAAAAACCAACATACGGCGAATGACCTACCTCATGAAGTGTTGGTCGAAATTCTGAAATGCGTTTTCGATTAGGGTGGATCACTTAGGTGGGGTTGTGGTAGCGATTATCACGCGGCATGATACGACGTTAGTTAGGACTCATCAGTGTATTGACTTACGAATGCATTTCGTTTCGACCTCCTGTGAAAATCGCACGTTGTAGAAAACGACCGGTCCAATAGTATGCCCTTTTCGCAATAGTCTTCGGTGGGCTCATAAATCCAAATATAATTTATAGAAAACATGTAAAAACATGCTTTTTTATCTTAGCACATCTTCATATTTTATCCTCGAAGTGAGGGTATATCAAGGTTTCGGAATGATTCCTAATTTCCAAATAATTTTGAGCCAAATCAGCCTTTAGGGATTTAAGTCTACAAGGTGTATACTTCCTGTGCAGGCAAAGTCACATATTTCTCTATGTAGAGTTCATAAAATTTTGAAATGTACGCGGACTATGTTGTATAGTTCATTAGGGGCATTGATAACCGGATAGGTAGGATGCTGTATGAATGGGCATTACATGGTTTTAAAAAATCTCATAATTAATAACTTCTTTAAAGCCAAAAGGTACTTTTCCTTCGAGTATAAGATAAGAAGAAGACATGATTTGTTGTCAAGTAAGCAAGGGGAGGCATAGTTCTGTGCATGTTTTAACCTAAGTACTCCACCCTGATCGAGAACGCATTTTGGAATCGCAGCTAGCATTTCCTAAAATAGCTCACTCATCTTATTAAACCCACCAAGTAAACTTAGGACCGTTTCGTAACCTTATCATCGTCAGCGCCTCAGCCATGATGTCTTTTCTAGTCACCAACAAGTTTGCCTACCATGGACAATCCGTCTCAGGGAATGTCCTATGGGTGATCAACTCATGCGAAGGGAATGATTCTTAGTTTGGGAGTTAATAGAAAAACTGGGGGTCCCACACTAATCTAACCAATGTTCCATGTTTGCCTAATCAAGCCCCATATTCTGACGATATAAATGGCAATTTCGGGCCATGTTTCTAACAACTTCTTATCGTCGAGTATAAAGTGTGAAGAAGACGCGATTTTTCGTCGAGTAAACACGAAGAGACATATTCCTGTGCATGTTTTCTGTAAAATATATTTGAATTTATAAGCCTACCGAAAGTTAGGGCAAAAAATGCGCACTAATTAAGCAGTAATTTTTAAAAATGTGCGATTTTTGCAGGAGGTCATGAAAAAGTACATTCAAAAGTCCTGATTCAAGAAAGTCTGAAATGTCATCGGATTATGCGCGTGGTAATAAATACTACAACTCCACCTAGATAATTCCTCCTGATCGAAAACTCATTTCGGAATTTCGGCAAACATTTCATTAGATAGGTCACTTACTGTGCTACACCTATCAAGTTAGTTTCTGGAGGTTTCACAGCCTTATCGTCGTTAGAGCCTTAGATATATTGTCTTAGGAGTTTATAGAATGACTGAGGCTTCCACTTTAATCTCACCAATGTTCCATGTTTACTTAATCAAGCCCTATATTAAGACACATAATTAGAAGTTTAAGTCGACGTTTTTGGCAGTTACTTATATGGCCAGCGCCTGCCTTCCGACAACCCATGTCTGACTGTACACGCATCTCCGAAGCAGAATATCAGAAGTCTTAGGAAATGCAAGCTCATGCAAGCCAGACGGCGACTCGCTGTTGTGGCTGTGTTGATTTTGGACGGAAAAGCCAACTCACCTATTGGTCAGTGGTCCAACCATCGGACTGACAACTAACTGTACGATTGACTTTGAGGCAAACAGCATCCCAACCGAGAAGTCCTCCTTGTCCTTGCGCGATTCTCGCACCTCTTTAGCCATGGCTGTGGTGTTGATGTTACAGCTCCCAGCCAGGGTGTCCAGGTTTTGCAACAGACGTGTCACCCGGCGTTGATCCCGCTCAGAGGCCACTCTGGGATCGAGAAAATCGATTTCCGATAGAGTCCCATGCGCCGCCTGTGCGTGGGAGGTGCTCGGGGTCAGGTGCGTTATGACGTCCGTCAAGGTGCTGACTAAGGAGGCATATGAGGTGCAGTTGTGCTCGCTGTATTCCAGCACTGATGTCAACACAGTCTTGGCCTTGAAAGTCATCAGCATGTTTGGCACAATGGGGACTGGGGGGTGGGGGGAGGGAAGAAGTACGCACTCAACACACTGGTTTACATATGAACATGGCTTTTATCTTTTATTCAAAAGATCTAGGTTTTATAAAATTTTGTTTATTTAACTAATGCTTGTTTATAGCGCAAAAGGTGTGCGTGCTGCCGACAGCCGTCATTGCGACGTCTGGCGTCCTCTTCAAGGTCTCACTGTCTCAAGGTCATTCACCTTTACAGCTGGCGGTTCCAGACGCGCTGACCAGCAGTCCCTCCACCAACTTCAGCTGGGACACAAATGCGTCCACGTAGTTGCAACTGCCCATGCACTACGCGACCACACCGCCGCTCGGCTGGTGCGACATACCAGTTGGACGATACTTTAGTTTTCCCCAAAAGCAGATGCCACCACCACCACCACCACCACCACCACCACCACCACCACCACCACCACCACCACCACCACCACCAGTTAATCAGTGGTAGGGGGGGGGAGAGCTCGTCCAAAACGTGACGGAACCATTTGCGCCTTGGGGCTCTCTGTTGAGGCAGAATGTTCCGTAAGAATGATCAGTGAGCGCCCCTCTACCTCTATATGTACCCGATTGCAACCGCCATACAAGAGGAGCTGTGCGCAGGACTTTCCAGCCTCTGAAGATATGTAGACAAATCGACTACTCAAAACGTCGGACGTCCAATAAACCTCTCCCGGTTAACGCCTTTTCTTCTTTTGACAGAGGATAATCTCGGGAGCTCCAATTTCACGTCCGCCACGTCCCAAGCAATCGCCCACCCTACCAGTCCCAACTCTTCCCGATTTTGCCCTGATACCCTACCGTTAGTACGACTCATGTGAAAAGCAACGCGAACTGCAGGGCTGAGGACGTTAGTCACTGTGGGGGGAATAGTAACGGTCGGTGAGCGCTCCCCACCATTGTCTATTCCCGATCGAAACCGACAGGACAACGGGCCCGTGGCTCAGAGGTTAGAGCCGTTGGGCTTCTAACCATCAGGTTGCAGGAGCCAGCCCCAGGTGTTGCACGCCTTGCGGTTGGGTATGGCTGGCTGACGACAGCTGATAAGCCAGAAATGGCCATTCTAGTCTCCTTTTTATTCCTCAGTAATGTCATGCTGGTAGTCAATTCGTCGATAATTCGCAAAAATGGCTTAATACGAGCTGACTAGGAGCCTGGGATGGTAGCTCTCCCCCCTTTTCAGTCAGAAATAAGAATGTTCTCTAACACTTTACCCCGCAAAGGCTCCTCCGACCGATGCAACCTACTCCGTAAGCATGGGGAAATGACAATTTGATCGTAGAAATTGGCAAGCTATACGAGCTAGCCACAGTTGTGCCTTGTACGGCAATTAGTTTAAACCTAAACAAACTTGCGTTGCATCTACTTCGCATTTCCTCTTCCTGCACCGTACTTTAGCAACAAATTAGAGTCAAACTGCCAACAGGACCAGAAAACCGACCTGCTCCTACCACACACAACAAGATTCACTTAGGACTGTTTCGGAATTCCTGCAAAGGAGAATGTCCTATAGGCCGTAGAAAATGCAACGTCTTTCGCATTGCAAGCCGCAAAAGATGAGACAGCGCTGAAAAACCCCTTTGTCTATCCATAAATAAGTGAAGCAAGCAATTGTAAAAGAACTCCCACTTTAGAAGCAAGTTCTATGTAGCCTTATTCTCAGGCCTTCTTTTATAGTACCTCTTCTGACTAGCAGTCATATGACCATGTTTACTGTTCGCTAAGGTTGAGATATCAAACATTTTTCATAGTGAGCAATTATATTTTATGTAAGTCTATAAGTGAGGAATTACCTTAACCTTCAGATCATGTGCCACAGGTCATGGGGGACGGGGGCGTCTAACTGCGTTCATTGTTGCAATGTGCTGTGGATGTACAGTGCATGACTGATCTCATGAAACGTTTACTAAAATGCTGGAATGCGTTTCCAATTAGGAAGGATTACTTAGGTGGGGTTGTTATACTGATTATCGTGCAGCATAACCCTATAACATTTCGGGCTCGCCAGGATGTCGGTTTTTGAATGCACTTCCTTTCGACCTCCTGCTGAAACCACACTCGGTAAAAATGACTACTTAAGTAGCATGCATTTTTCCTATGGATTTTCGACGCTCTAATAAATTCAAATATATTTTATGAAAAAAATGCACAAAAATATGCTTTATTTTGAGCATTTGGTAGGAAAGAAGAAAGTGTATATTCATGTTTTACAAAAGTTTTTCCCGTTCCCGAATAATTTTCAGCCTGATCTGCCATTACATCAGCGTTAGGCAATTTCAGTCCACAAAGTGCATACTTTCCGCGTAAGGAAAATCATATATTCCTCTATGCCTTTAAGAAGATACCACACAGAATTCATGACATTTTGCAATGGATCCGGACTGTCTTGTACATTTCATGAGGAGCATTATTAAACGGACATGTGGAGTTTTGCATGCATGGACATTGCACGGTCTTAAAAAACTCATAATTAGAAACCAGATGCCAAACCAAATCATAATTTAACCAAATTCCCTGTGTGGAACTTACCAAATAGTGATTGCGTAGGCGGAGCTTAAGCAAAACCCGGGTTTATGGGGTGAACCCCTTGAAAGGAACTGCGTCTCGCTCTTTAATTAGGCGAAGAACGTGACCATATTTTATCCCTATTTAATGCGCTATTATGTTCGATGCAGGCAGTCAAGAAAAAGGTTTTTAGGCTCATAAAAAACTTCCGGTAAACGCAGAGAACTGGTGAGTCAGGACTGGTTGAACACGCGAATACACCGATCCGTTAGGATTGTAGGACACAGGATGCGTTCCCGTTTCGATTCACAGTTATAATATGCGGTCGTATAGGAATGTGCGGTATTAGCAGTCATCAGGCAGTTATATCTCGGATGTAGACCGTGAATTGCCCGACGTGAACCCAGGTTCGCCTAGGCCATTCACTCAGCCTCTGTCAGCCAAGCTCGGAAGTGTACAAACCTCCCTGAAACTGATCTCGCCAGGTCATAGCTGCGGTTTTGACTAGGGGCCTGCAATGCTGACTGGGTTGGGGTTTTCGCATAGCGGCGAAGGATCAGTTATGGGAGGATAATCCTCACAAAAAGCAACCAAGTGGAATATGCTGCTAGGAGGTTCAAACTCCGGCTTCGCTGCCTATGGGCTAGAATCTCCACCAGTTTGACCATAAAATCTCACAACGGTAGTCTGAACTTTTAGTGCCCGAATCGGCAAAAGCAATATGATTTTCTGAAAACTAACCATAACAGCTGTCACTGGTTCCCCCGGCCCGACATATCTAAAGGGCCTTATGAAAGTAAACTTAACGGTAAATCGGCGTGACAGTTTTCTATTTGTTGCTATTTAAGTAAGAGAGATCGAACCGACATCCGTTGATATTCACTTTTATACCACTCGGGCACTAGTTGTGATCTTACGACCACTATCTAGAACTTTCAGCACACACCGCGGTCTATATTTAATTGGACTCGTCCTGCCACAATCACCATTCTCCATCTGCCTCAGCATCAGGACCGAAGGACTGACAGGATGCCGGCTTTCAAATGAATTTCCATCCGGCTAGATGCAAAAACTACCTACACTCTGTAAAAATGACAACTTATGTAGCATAAATTTTTTCATTGATTTTCGATGCCCCTAAAGGTTCAATTACACTATTTAATGGAAAACATGCATAAAAATATTCATAAGTTTGCTCATTCGGTAGATAATTACGTCTTCTTTAACTGTACGCTCGAAGGAGGGACATAATTTGGTTTTTAAAAAGTTTCTAATTGTGGGATTTTTAAATACCGTAAAAAGGCCGTTCATAAATCGTCATGTCTCTGCCTTTGCCAATATGGTTAGTAAAGTTTGCAATATGGGTCAAATCCACTGCTAAATTTTATAAACCCTATATGGTCCCCCTTTATTACCGTAGAGAAATGCGTGGTTTTCCGTACGCGGAAAATATACGGCTTGTAGTTTGGAAACCCCAAAATCCAAGTGTACCGGTAAAGCGGGTTCGAAATTATTCGGGAATTGGAAAAGTTTTGAAAACCGAAGTATACCCTTCCTTCGAGTGTAAGATTGGAAGACGTAATTATCTGCCGAATGGGAAAAAGAATGGATATTTTTTGCATGTTTTCCATGCAATATAATTGAATTTTTAAGGGCATCGAAAATCAATGGGAAAAGTAAATGTCATTTTAATAGTCGTTTTTTGCAGAGTATTTGTTTGCCTGCAGCCGAAAAGAAGTTCATTCGAAGGCCGTATTTCTGAGGTGACTAAATTATTATAGAATTATGCTGCAGGATGATTATTTTTACGGCTCTACTTGATTAATATTTTTGAAACGAAAACGCATTTCGGAATTTTGGTTGACATTTCATGAGTTGGCCCACCTACTGCACGCTCCACCACTCGAGACGTGCCACAGACCAGCTTTCATGCTGCTGTGCGGTTTATGATGTCCTCATGTAATAGATTGATGAGGAGAGACCACTCTCACTTCTCCTCAAATTCCCCTTGGGAGGGATTGCCTATATGGCCCTTCGGAAATACATTGAAAAAGGAACTGCCCCATAATACAGGTAGTTTTTATGTGAATCCCAATGATACTGGGGTTAGGGTTAGAACAGAGAAATATTTACTCCTCCTGGAATTTAGCGTACGGCCAACCGTATTACGTGGGCAGAATGTTTCTACTCCCCTTTCCTGTTTGGCCTGCCATACAAGCAATTCTGTCTTTTCTCTTCTCTGGACTTCATTATGGGCGAAGAAACATCTGTTCTGTTTTTGGGACTTCTTAATTTCCATCACGCACAACATATAAAGAATACACAAATGAAATTACTAGAGATTACTTTGCATCCACTCAAATTACTCTTCTTCTGCCTCCTCTTCCTTTCAGGCAATGTTTGGCAAAAACTCAAGTATCAAAACCGTTGTCTATCTCCATCTTTCTGTATTAACTTCGATTCCGATTAATTCTGCTCCCTGTCATTTTTAGTTTCTTGCTGATAACGTCTCAGCTAGCCGTCGAGGAATTTCTGCCGTAGAGCATCAGGGGTCTGCGGCAAGTTAACCGTATCACAGCAGATCCCCAGCCATCATTTTCGCGACCAGCACTGCTTATACGGAGGCGTAATTGCGTTAGACGGCACCACTTGGGGTTGGAGTTGCGCACAGACTGAAGGCAACCATTAGGCGTCAGTTTATGAGACTGAAAAACCCGCTGACACGGCAAGAAACGTCTGAAGTCGTTTATTGGATCTGGCGCAGTTCCGGACAAGGCAACTACGTCGGAGAAATCGGGAGGCTGCTCCTAACGCAAGTGGTTGAACACGCGGCGGTAGTGCGGCGAAATGACGCTGGCTCTCAAGTTAGGGACACACATTCAGATTTGAAGAAGCCGAAATTCTCGCAAGAGGTGACAACCGCGTGAGCCGGGAGCTGCTTGAGTC